TTTTTGTTCTTTTTTTTTGCTTCTTTGTGCTTTTTGCTTTCACATCTTTCACTACATTCAGCTCATTTGACAGTTTAGCTTAGTTTCAGCTTACTTCAGCTGTTCAACAACTTCAGCAATCATTTTCCAAATTTAGCATCCAGCTATCCAGCTGTGGGTATCAGAGCACATTGTGTAAAGATTTTAGCTTAAGGTTAACCATTAAGGTTTAACTAAACCATTTTTCACTTTTACATTTACAAGTTTTATAGAATACATTTTATTTTATTTATTTAACTAGTTCTCTGACTCACTAACTGCAACTAAAGCCCTGACATGTTCTCCTCTTTCCCAAAAAAATCTGAACTAGGGAGCATTTATAAAACTATGACAAACAAACAATCCTAATTCATGAATTACTGACCAATTTATTAACTCAGTTGACAGTATTTAAAATACTGAATTGTGCACACACACAGACCCACACACGCGCGCACACACACACACACTCTCACACACACACACACACACACACACACACACACACACACACACACACACACACACACACACACACACACACATATATAAACATTCAGTGGAATGTTACCCTACGTACAGTGTGCTGCATTCACCTTTTAAGTTTTTAGTTTCCAAGTCAGAATAATGTTGATTCTGGCGTGATTTTTGTGCATTTTGCTCACCTGCCTCAGGTCTCAGCACATCAGGATTCACCACCACTACTCAATAGGACACTGGAATCTCTCTGCCACATTCATCCATCCATCCTGACAGACCCGCTCTCTCCCAACGCTCCCTCTCCATCCTTGGGACCCCCTCCCCCACACACACACACGCACACATATACACCCCAGCTCATTACCATCACCTCTGCCCTAATCCCACATCACTCATTAAGTCTCTACGCTGCACCTTCTGGTAGTGACTTACTCCTCAGGACTCACCTCCTTCTGCTCTTCCCCCTCCAGATGCTGCATTCCCAGCTCCTAACCACTGGAATGCCCAGTGTGCTTTTAGTTATCGTTATCCAAAATAAAATCTTTTTCCCATCATTCTGAGGTTGATTCTGCCTGTCTTGGGTTAGACACCTCTCCCAGAACTTATATCAATGTGGGGTGTCAGCTGGTATGTAGGTGTTTCACATATGTGCTCTGGCACCAGGTAAACTCACACATCATGGCTCAGTGTTGAGATGGAAGTCAAACTGAACTAAAAATTCCAAGATGATCTCAGAACAATGAGGTCAAACAGATCACATCTATGTGAAATCTCCTGGATTAATAAACTCACTTTAGGTCACCGAGGTGACCTGGATTCTGAGAAAATATAAAACAAAACATCACATAGTGACAAAAAGTAGGGTTTTAACATGACTTTAATCTGTTGTTAGAATATTTACAGATTATTTGATTAAGTAAAATTAATACAGCCACAGACTAAACACCTAAAGAAACATCAAAAAGCTACTAAATATTAACCAAATACCTATAGAACATAACAGCAATTTTTTTTCTAAATACCTAACAATTCTACTAACATCTTAACATTGAACAGCCAAATATTACACATCAAATGGAACTATTTACAAAATCCAAAATCTTACATTTCATTTTTTTCAGTGGAGGGTTCTATTTTTGTGACCCAGCCACCTTGGATCTCCAACTTTACAACGAGTTTCCCTTTTTCAAGGAGGTTTTCGAATGGTTCCCAGAATGATTGTTTGATGTGGGGTTGATCCCCATTGGAGAGGAGCAGCTGGAACTCTCCTTCTTCAGTCTCCTCAGCACCCAAGACTTCTATAACCACCATTATGGTCTGGACTGCAACCTTCTGTTGGAAACACAAACAACACAGGGTTTGTTAAATTTTTCATCACTAAGCTGTTAACTTTGTTTTCGTTTTACGTGTTTTTCTTCTCAGAAGAAGCTACAATGGTGTTTTGCTGAGCTGTGGTGGCCTCATGTAACGAGCCATTAGCTGGCACATTGATGCTAACCAAGGGGTGAGCAATCCTGGTCCTTGAGGTCTGCTATCCAGCAGGATTTAGTTATTTCTCCGCTTAAACACACCTGGTTTGAATCTGCTGTTCATTACCAGGCTGCTGCAGAGCCTGATGGGCTGCTGAACAGGTGATTCATCCAGGAATCAGGTGTGTTGGAGCAGGTAAACAACTAAAACCTGCTGGATAGCCCTCGAGGACCAGGCGTGTCCATCCCTGTGCTAACCACTTAACATTCTCCCTCTCCTGATATTGACAATTTACTTTCTTTAACATACAGCAGGGGTCCTCAATTATAATGGTCTGAGGGCCACACACAAAAAAGACCCAGAAGCAAGAGGGCCGTAACATAAATTAAAGCAGCTTTCTGGAGTTTTCCCCTTTCAGAAATAATGAATTATTTGTCAGAAATCCGTAAAAGTGATTATCTTTTCATGTAATGTGATATAATGTAAGCAATACGTCTTTTTTGTTTTGTTTTGTCTACACACACACCCTGCCCCACAGAGCTCCGTGCAATAGGACACTGAGTGTCGACCAGAACTAACCAATAACGTTAGATTACCGCTTACTTGCTTCAAATTTAAGTAATACGTCGGCTAAAGCAGAGTGGATGAACTTTTCACAGACAAGTAAGTCTCTAAAATATAAATAAATGAGAACACAACATGACATGAGCACAATACTCGTAAAACAATGTGTTTTAGCGGTTTTTCGGCTAGAAACGTGAAGTCGCCATCTTAAAAAAACAGAGCAACAGACTTTTTGTGTGATATGCTTGTCAGCCACTAGATGTTGCCATCAGATAAGAGAAATACTGGGAAAAAGCTTTAAGTATAGATTCACTCAGATAAAGTCAATAAAGTTTTTTTTGAAGAAATATAATCTCTACTAAGAAATCACAATGTATGCAGTCATAGAATAACACGTGGTTAATATGTTGAGTGCATGTAGCCTATGTGCGTGTGTGTGTGTGTGTGCTGGCGTGCATACACGAATGCCTGTGTGTGTGTGTGCACGCGAGTGTGTGTGGGTGTGTGTGTGTGCTGGCGTGCATACACGAATGCCTGTCACACACACGAATGCCTGTGTGTGTGCGCGCATGTGTGTGTGTGTGTTGGCGTGCATACACGAATGCCTGTCACACACACGAATGCCTGTGTGTGTGCGCGCATGTGTGTGTGTGTGCTGGCGTGCATACATGAATGCCTGTGTGTGTGTGTGTGTGTGTGTGTGTGTGTGTGTGTGTGTGTGTGTGCGTGTGTGTGTGTGTGTGTGTCTGCTCTGTCTTCTCGATCCCCAGTGAGTCGTGGAGGATGGCTGCTTATACTGAGCCAGGATCCTCTGGAGGTATCTTCCTGTTAAAAGGGAGTTTTCCTCTCCACTGTCGCTACATGCTTGTGTAACGGTGTAAATAATTAGCATGGTTTTGTTATTGTTAAATTCCTGTTAAACCTGCTATTGCAACCATGGGGTTTGTTTTATTTTGTTAGATTCGATTTTTAGATCTTTATTTTGAAAATCCACAGCAGAAGTCCGCTACAGATGAACGTTCTGTTTTCCGGGTATTCCGTTAGTAGCGAGGTGGCTTTTGCTGTGGTAAGTACTCCATCAGTCCGCCCAGACTGAAAATGGGTAAAAAAGGTATTTAAAGATGTCTGTTAAGCTTAACAAAACTGTCCATTAATGCCATGAATCACCTATACAATTGTGTCCAGTTACATTTCGGTTTTTGTGACTTTGGTTAGAAGGTAGAAAAATGCACGTGCTGTACTAGCTGCTAAAAGCGAGGGGAGAGCCTCATGTCTCATCATTATTTTAAACTTTTCTTTTTAGTTTTGGGCGGAATCCTGCTGCTGGAAACCCATGGTTTTGCATATCCTATGTAATTGCAGGTATGTTTTCTGTGAACTGTATTTGTTTGAGCTCTTGGCTAATTCTGTTTAAAACATTGTGCTTATTTAGTTGTGTCCAGCAGGTGGTAGAATTTTTTCCATTTATTTTGGCACATGAAAGAAACTTATTTTAATTTATTTGAAGGTGAATATGAATGTGCATTTTGCATTTAAGTGAATTATTTATTTTGTTTACCTGAATCACAATGCAGTGACATCTTATTTTTTTGTAATAAGTTTTATCTTGTTTTCCATCCAATTTGTAATTTGATTAGTTTTAAGAAAAATTAATAATACGAGGTGGCTTTTGCTACGTTTTGGGCGGAATCCTGTTGCTGGAACCCCATGGTTTTCCCATGTAATTGCAGAAGCCTGCAGAGGGGATAAACCAATCCTAAGCTCTACCCATCTTGAGTCCAGAGAGTTTCACTCTTACAGTGGTGGAGATAGACAGAAGGGGTTACACTTGCTTAGTATGAGGATTGCTGTAAAGACTCTGACACTAGTCAGTGACTTGATGCAACCTGCTGGGTTCCTTATATAGGAAACTTTTTACTGATAGTGCAGAAAAAATAAACAGCTAAAACACTGCGCAGAACACCCTCCACGGACAAGGGACGGAACAATCTGTCCGCACATCCCCCCGCTGCTCTCACAAGCCGCCCAGCCAGCTTCATCAGGTTTTCTGGGGGAAACCCTGGAATATATATATATATATGTGTGTGTGTGTGTGTGTGTGTGTGTGTGTGTGTATGTATGTATATGTATATATATGTATATGTATATTACACACACCTCAATCTTTGTGTGTCCAGTTGACTGCAGCTGGCCCTTGGATCCTCTCACGTGAGAAATCTGTATGCTGGCCCCCAGTTCAGGTGTTTCTAATGTTGCCTCCCTCCACAGAGAGACATAAGCCTGAACGTCACCCTGAAAGTCAAAACATGCTGTTTAAGGACTTACTTATAAACCAGAAGAAGATGCAAACAGATTTTGTGATATTAATAATTAGGAGATTTAGCTTTTTATTTGTATTTCCAGTACTTTTACCTGCTTCAAAGTGATCTGACGCAGAGGAACGTCTCCACCGCCACTCCGTATCTTCTTCACATTGGAGATCTACACAATGAGATTAAATGGTAAATGGCAGGAGCTATAATGTTGCTATACTGGAGATTAGTTGCTGATTTTTGCCTCCTGCTGTTTTGAAGGTTTGTTTTGGGTTATTTCAGTTTATTTGTGCACAATAGTTGGATTGTGTGACATTTGGTGCAGGTTTGTTTTTTTATGTTTAATAATTGTGCTATTTTTATGTTAGCGTGCAATGTTTCTGTTGATACCTTAGGATTACCAGCATTTTAAATGTGCGCAGCTCTCTCATCTCTCAGTTGAGACTAGTAGCCTGCATGTTGGGAGCTGTAATGTTACTGTACTGGAGATGCATTAATGATTTTGCCTCCTGCTGCTGTATTAAAGGTGTGTTTGAGGCACCGCTGACATCAAAGCCACCTACATCCAAAGAACTGCTTCTGAGTTTTCTTTCCCAAGATTGATGACCACACAACATACAGCTGGAGGACAGGTGTCTCAGTCCTTTCATCCACCATTATTATTAGAGAAACAAAGCAACAATTTAAAGATATTTACTATTTGTAAATCTTTATGTGTGTAATCCCCCACCCCAAAGATGTACATGGTATTAAACTTCCAGGAAATGGTCTACTGTTTGCATGAGAAATAATAAAAAACTTACTTGTACAACCTGACCTTCAACAGTCAGGAGGCCACCAACACCTTTCCATTCCATCAGTTTCACCACCTTGGAAGATGGAAAGAGTAGAGCCTTTGCTGCCTCCGGCAGGCCCTCGCATGTGAGCTCCACTGGGGAGCTTTTAAAGAAGTTGGTTTTTTTACTGACCATAATGTGTAGTGGTGGGGTGTCTCCTTTTAAATAATAATTTTTAATTATGTAGTTTTTTTTTTCTTCCAATTTGTGTCGCAATTCCTCAAATAATGTCACTTTAGACACTGTGTGGCCATCTGTGATGGCCACCACTTTGTTAATTTTTGTTATTTTGGCCTCAGCCGAATCTATTCCAAACTCCCAGGAAACTACACGGGCACTTTCCCTCTCAGCCAGTACATGGACGTGTAAAGGTGGAGGAGTCCAGTATGGGGAAGAAGGCCTTGTGTTAAGGATTTTGTTGAGTTCCATTCTGAAATAAAAAAAAATAACAAACCATCACTGAACATTACCTCATTACATATTTCGTTACTAATAAAATAGTTCAGTTGTATTATTGTTCATACATGTTGCATGCACGTGAAGCTGACATGTTTAGCCTATGTACAATGCTTCAATATGATCCCAATTCTTGAGAGTGATAAATGCAGCAAGATGTGTTTAAAGATCAATTATATTTTTCAGTTTATAAAAGAAAGTAAATCAATATGCCTAACAGGATCGGATTGTCATCATAGTGCTTTCTTCACAAAAATCACTAAAACAGCGGTTGGTGGCAAGAGCACAGCAGAGGGAAAAGGGCTGCTGCTAAAAGAAATAGCCAATCACAGAAGAGCCCTCCTAGCCAATCAGAAGCGAGAAAGGCGGGATCTTTGCTCCCGGTTATGGGGGAAGACCTCTGTAATGAGCAGGTGCTTGTAGGAAACCCCGTAGAAACGAGAGCATCTACGTAACCGTTGACGTTGCGGAGAGTCCGTGCTAATCCTACCTAACACCGTCGCGTGACAAGCTGGCATTGCCAAAATCTGCAGTGACACCCTGTGGGTTTTAAACTATTGGGAGACTAATCAGAGCATTACTAAAATGTTGGATTTATATTTAAGCTAAAAAAAAGCACCCAGAGCTGTACGTTATTTATTTACTTGTTGTGACTGTGACTGGTCGAAATTGTGGCAATAGATGGCTTACCTGTAATTTTGCCTGTCACTCCTTCCCAGGGTAGAAAAAAAACGTTTTAAAAGTTTCAGTCTCGATTGTTTAGGCATATTTAAAACATACTAGTTTTTCAGGTGGATTAAGACAAGATAATTACGATCTTCATTGAAGTTAAGTTCGTCATAATTCATGTTGAAGGTTCTTCAACAAGAATTATGACGAACTTAAAAAAAGTGGTTCGTGATTAGAAACTATGCTCTCGGACAGTCAGTAAGGTGAAATGGCGAAGCATTTGATCATTTATGTGGAATGAAGATCTAGGAATTAAGTCTCACGTACCTCTTGATTGTCCTGCTGCTGGAGATTGACTGGGTCACGGCTGGCTCACAGTCCTCTTGAAGCAGCAACTGCCCGGCTCGAGCTGTTGTCATGGTGACAAAATCATTCCTCGAAGGAAAACTTATGATTTCATAATGCCTTTAACTTTTAATAACTTTTATTGTTTGATACAAATCTTAATCTTTATATATATATATATATATATATATATATATATATATATATATATATATATATATATATATATATATATATATATAAATACTTGTGTCGGAAATATGTACTGAATAAACTCGTTTTTACATTTAACTGCTTTTCAAAGCAGTTTTTTATAATCGCGGGATTTCCTACAGGACCCTGAACGCCTCTTAACTGTTTCAGTTTGTTCTCCGTGAAGGTAAGTCATAAATCTGCTTTTCTTCTTCTGTTTATCCGGTGTATCCACCTGTGGAAGGTTTGGTGTTTTTCTCTGTTGGTAATGTGACAAGAGACACGATTTATATCATGGCAGAATACGTTTAATAGATTTTTGTTTGAATAAAAGGTATTTAGATCTGCAGTTGGATCAACCGTTAGCTTCCCTTGTAGTTTAACGCAGCTAACTTCATGTGTGCTGTTTAAACTTAATCAAAAGTTGTTTCGCTTAATGAGAAATGGTGTCAGATGTTTTTAACATTCTAGTTTTTTCTGTTTGAAGTTAAATGTGTAGTCGGTTCAGCCCAAAAGCTACTAACGGCTCCAACAGCTAATGCTAGTGTTGGATTCAGACAGAAAACCGTCGATTCTGCTACACTAAAATATTATTTCTTTCTTTCTGTAAAGTGTAGAAACACGCATAGATTAATGAGGAAACCCCCAAATGAGTAAAATCAGCTCATTTTAAGCAGTGACTGTAAGGTTCATATTTGACATTACATCGCTGCAGTACTTTTATTTAGAAAATTACCAGTGCTTTTACATTAAAACCGTGTGTGATTTCCTGTCTAGCCCTATGTTAACTGCGGAAATCAACGTGTCGCAGAAGTGGCTCTCGGCAAAATTATAACCCGATCCTATCTTTAGCGGAGCGGTGTGCGGGTTTCGGTACGGGATCTGCTCGGGTACAGGATCGGCTCGGGGTCCTTCGACTGCCGATGACGTCAACGTGGTTGATTGGCTGAACATGAAGCTTACGGAAGTGACGTAATCACGTTATGATGATATAGTCTTAGCGGTTGTAGTCCTGTAGTCCAAAAATCAACACGTTTTGGAGAAAATATGTTTGAATTTCTAAAGGAAATGTAAAATATAAGCAATTGATAAACGGTGACCCTCAAAATCTCTTGAAGTTGATGAAATGGGGCAAAATAAAATATAATAACTTTATTGAAAGACACCAAGCAACATTTAGAGTCAAAGAATGTATTTAGATAACAACTAAGGAAATATACAGACGAACTCCACATTAATACAAACAGATATGGCTTCACATATAAGAACTGTCCTATTGTTTGTCAGTCCGATGTTGGTTTTATGCAGTTTCACATTCTTTACAAAACAAAGATAATATGGTGTTTTATTAACAAATTACAATTATAAAGAAAACATTTAGGTGTTAACAAACAAGAATTTATTAACAACACTGCTGACGTCTTTCCAAAACGTATGTGTGAAAGCCGAGTAGAGTTGCAGTCATGTGAAGTCATCGGCAGTCGAAGGACCCCGAGCTGATCCTGTACCGACACTGGCTTCCTCAATGATCCAACACAAGATGAATGCAGTAGTATATCACTGCAGAATCTAACCCTAACCCAGGCAAAAAAGGGTTTGGGGTATTTCTTATGAAGAAATTACAATATCACATGGTACAATGTTCCAAAAAGTAGATTTTTTTAATGATCTGAACATTTACAAAAACTGTTCAATCAATGAACCTCTGTCCACAGTCTTGCGTTTTATGTGATATTAGTTATAGCTCCCCCTTCAGTTCCAGAACGTAAGTGTTGCATTTTCCAAATATGGAATGAGTCTGACTGGTAGCCCTACAACGCCTCTTTCTTCGTGCTGCAGCCAGGGCCTTCTCGCTACTTGGGCCAGCTCCTCCAGGAGAATCCCAAGGTGTCCCCTGGCCAAACGAGTCCTTCCAGCGTATCCTGGGTCTTCCCTTTGGTCTCCTCCCAGTTCGAGCACAAATGTTTTATTGTTAAAATGTTATAATTAAAACAGTTTTTTCTTTGTCTGGCTTTTATAGATTAACAGATAATGTACAGGTCAAACAGCGCTGAGCAGATAACAGAATATCTAGTGGTAAAATCCAACAATATAAAATCTTATGTAACATGATATGTTTTTGTTTTCTTTTTTAGACTGAGAGCTTTGAGCGTGGTTTGGTGCATCAGCAGGTAAGTTAAGCACACCTGGAGGCTGAAGGGGGAAAATCCATCACGTTTATTCTTTGTGGCCTTAATGTAGCCTTGAGTTTATTGTCTCATCAGTAATTGGGTGGTTGCAGATTCAATAACTCCAGCCATGTTGATCAGATGTGATTAAATTGAATCTACTCATCAGTGCACTGAGTTTAATTCATTGTTCAAATGAAATGTTTACTGTTTAAGAAACGTTTAATGTCTGTTTGATCTCTAGGTGATAATTTACATTTGGAAGTAAAGCACATTTTATATGTTGAAGACAGAATTATACTGGAGACTCATTATTTTCTCTGTTCCACAGAAAGAACGTGATTCCTTCTTCTGTGCTTACAGGTGAGTAAAACATGTTACCTGTGTGAAACTTGGAGCTGTCTTCATTTAATTTTATTGCATAGAAAATAAATGCAGACTCACACATCTGTCTGTCTCTGTCTCAGTGATGGACTGGTTGGTGTTTATATGTAGAAACCAGAACTTTCCAGACTACTAATTGTTGGGTTTCTGTTCTCAGAATATTTCCTGTGTATCCTGTGGTGACTGGTGAGTAAAACATGTTAAATGTATGATGGAGGTTTTTCCAGGTTTTCTACAGAGGTTAAAAACAGCTGTTGTCTGAAGAGTGTCTGCTGATGTGGCAACAGGTAATCAGGGAGACACCGATAGCAGATGTGCAAAACAAGGTAACACAAACACGGTCACTCTTGCCCCTCCCATTGGCCATCATTCCCAGGCCAAGTCTGGCAGATGTGGAACCTGCATTGCCAGAGAAAACAAGAAAGCGCTAAACATTGGTCGCCATTTTCTAGGACCAAACGTCTTTGACTTGGGCTTTTCTTTCAGTCAAGAGCAGGTAGAGGTGCTTAAGTGTATCTAGAGATGCTCCGATCTGATCATGTGATTGGAAATCGAGTCTGATATCGTGATTTTTCAATGGGCCTGAATGAACTCTATCAGAGTTTCTCAGAAAAATTAGTTGTGCAGACTTGCACATGCACCCACATACATAACAGACTCACTGCTCAGTAGAATGAGCAAACATAGAAACTGCAGCAGGCTGGAGGGTTTCCACTCCACCTAGATCACTAGAAGAAAGGGAGGAGAATGTTTCCTTTATGGAGGCAAGCGGCTCTGAGCTGTAACGTTTTCATATCGACCTGTGAGATGACTCTTGTCGTGAGTTGCCACTATGTAAATAAACTTAATTGAATGAATTCTGAGTGGAGGTGTGGTCATGACTCAGCTGGAGTCCAGTGCAGTTCTGTCATTTAACGTCACCTTGTACCTTTTAGCCATCAGCTGTGGCAGATTCAGAATCAATTTAGAGCAGAGTTTTAACCTGGAGATGGACAAATGGCTATGGTTTGAAGATGAATTATGAAATTTTAAGTAAGCGGAGGCTTACAGCTGTGCTTTGTGATAAAGTAGGCCCAAGTCTAAAATGACGCCAGTTATTCATTTATGTTACTAATTACTTGCAGTCAGTCTGATTGTTTAGGTCACCAAGCAGAATTGGGATAGCTAAATAGTAATTTTAAGGATGTTTTACTCACAATGCTAGTTGGATCCATTCACTTACTGTGTTTTATGCTAAGCTAAAGGAGTACAGCCGGGTTGGGAGCATGACTGGGCTGGTTACAAATTGATTTTTTCCTACTTATTGAAATATTAAACAAAAAAATCTGAGAAATATGTCAATAGACAAATTAAAATTTTGGGTGG